GTAGTAGCCAGGAAGTAGTAGGAATCACGAAGCAGCTAAATTGGATGCATTAGCTGTGATTCCCCGTAGCCTAAAACTGACTACTAAATTTTCGAACGCATCCATCTGACGTTAGATGTCCCTTGAGGAGGATAATCGACCATTTGCCACAACAGGGTACAGTTAACGGAACGATAACGCGAGTGTCGTCGACAATTCGAGATTACAATTAAGAGCGGCAATCGATCCCCAGAAACAGGTGTCCGTCGTAGTCGATAGCATTGCGAATGAATTTTTGATGCCACCTGTTGCAGTTAACTCCCTCTTTCTCACTCTCTCTCTCTCTCTGTGAACGTAATTTTTTGTATTTATTACACTATGAACCCCCTACGAGCAATGTGCATGTCAATATACAGAAAATTAGAACATCTGAGAAACGCTAACAAAGAGAATTTGCATTAGTAGGGTCACCATATTTATTCAAACCTCTTCTTGTAATTATAGAGCAAATATAGAGAGAAATTATTTCAAAATTCGTTCAATGCTCAATTTAATTTTTGAATTGCTATATACAGGGTGTTCAACCACCCCTGGGAAAAATTTTAATGGGAGATTCTAGAGGCCAAAATAAGACAAAAATCAAGAATATCAATTTGTTGATTGAGGCTTCGTTAAAAAGTTATTAACAATTAAATTTAAAAATTTCAAATCGTTCTGGAAAAATTATATTCGGTTGCGGGGGTCAATTATAATAATTTTGGATGAATAGACATATCCCCAAAATCTTTCGCATTTTCGAGAAAAAAATTCGAGAAATGAAACTTTATGACAAAATTAACAAATTACAAATCGTTCTGGAAAAATTATTTTCAGTTGCAAGGGTCAATTACAATTATTTTTGGTCAATAGACATACCCTCGAAATCCTATCCACTTTCGAGGAAAAAATTCCTTACCGAAAATATAATTTGAGGCCTGAAATGGTCCCCCAAAATTTCATGTGAATCTTTGAAACGTCATAACTTCTGAACGGATTGGAGGATTTTAATGTTTAAAAAAGGAAACAACGCGTATTTTAGTGGAGAATATGTACAAATTGCAAAAATATTCGAAAACTTGTTCCTTGACTCCGCAAAATGAGAAAAACCTCATACAAATGGTCCAATATTCAAACAGCCATAACTCCTACAATAGTAATAATATTTCATTGAAATTTGGGGGAGGACTAGAGTTCGTGGATACCTACAAAAAAGTATTAAACAACTTTCCTATACAGCGCCAACCAAATTTATTAATAATAAAAAACGAATTTTTAAGAAAAATCTTTGGTGCCTCAATTTGTCTACGAAAAAAAAATTTCAAATCGTTCTGTAAAAATTATTTTCGATTGAGGGGGTGAATTACAATCATTTTTTGTGAATAGACATATCCCAGAAATCCTACGCATTTTCGAGAAAAAAATTCATAAACGAAAATATAGTGTATGGCTAGAAATGTCCCCTGGAAATTTCATGTGAATCTTTAAAATGTCATAACTTTTGAACGGATTGGGAGATTTTAATGTTTCAAACGGCAAACAACGCGCGTTTTAGTGGAGAATAAGTAGAAATTACGACAATATTGAAAAAGTCGTTCCTTGATCCTGTAAAGTGAGGAAAACCCCATAAAAATGGTCCAATTTTCAAACAGCCATAACTCCTACAATAGTAATAATATTTCATTGAAATTTGGGGGAGGACTAGAGTTCGTGGATACCTACAAAAAAGTATTAAACAACTTTCCTATACAGCGCCAACCAAATTTATTAAAAATAAAAAACGAATTTTTAAGAAAAATCTTTGGTGCCTCAATTTGTCTACGAAAAAAAAATTTCAAATCGTTCTGTAAAAATTATTTTCGATTGAGGGGGTGAATTACAATCATTTTTTGTGAATAGACATATCCCAGAAATCCTACGCATTTTCGAGAAAAAAATTCATAAACGAAAATATAGTGTATGGCTAGAAATGTCCCCTGGAAATTTCATGTGAATCTTTAAAATGTCATAACTTTTGAACGGATTGGGAGATTTTAATGTTTCAAACGGCAAACAACGCGCGTTTTAGTGGAGAATAAGTAGAAATTACGACAATATTGAAAAAGTCGTTCCTTGATCCTGTAAAGTGAGGAAAACCCCATAAAAATGGTCCAATTTTCAAATAGCCATAATTCCTACAATAGCGACGATATTTCAATGAAACTTTTTTCTGATGTAGAGCTCATTGGTGACTACAAAAAAGTATTAGACAACTTTTCTATAGAGCGTCAAACAATATTACTAAAAATCAAAAACGAGTTTTTAAGAAAAATCGAAGGAGGTGCCTAAATTCGGCGAAAAAAAAAATTCAAATTATTCTGAAAAAATTACTTACATTTGCGGGGATCAATTACAATTATTTTTGGTGAATAGATATACCCTCGAAATCCCATTCACTTTCGAGAAAAAAATTCGAGAAGGTATGAAATTTTTCGACAAAATTGACTAATTTCAAATCGTTCTGAAAAAATTATTTTCAGTTGCAGGGGTTAATTACAATTATTTTTGGTGAATAGACATACCCCCGAAATCTTATGCATTTTCGAGAAAAAAATTCCTTACCGAATATATAATGACTGACCATGAATGAATGATTCCCCTGAAATTTCACGTGTTTCAAATTATTCTGAAAAAATTATGTTCGTATGCGGGGGTTAATTATAATCATTTTTGGTGAATTTACAAACCCCCGAAATCCTACTCATTTTCGAGAAAAAAATTCAGGAACGTGGACAAATTTTTTAGCGAAATTAAAAAATTTACAATCCTTCTAAAAAAATTGTTTTTAGTTGCGGGTGTCAATTACAATCATTTTAGGTGAATAGACATACCCCCAAAATCCTACGCATTTTCGAGAAAAAAATTCGATTAAATGGACAAATTTTCCAGCAAAAAAAATTTCAAATCGTTCTAAAAAAATTATTTTCGGTTGAGGGAGTCAATTACAATAATTTTTGGTTAATAGACATACCCCAGAAATTTTATGTACTCTCGAGAAAAAAATTCTTTACCGAAAATATACTGTGTGGCCGGAAATGTTTCTATAACTTTTTAACGAAACCTCAATCAACAAATTAGTATCTTGAATTTTCGTCTTATTTTGGCCTCTAGAACCTCCCATTAAAATTTTCCCCATTAAAATACATAATAATTCATTTAGCTTTAACAAAATGGTCACACTGCCAAAAAATTTATGTTTTACATGTTTTTATGATGCATACCACTCGAGACATGGTAAAAAATAATTAAGAAAAGAAGCAAATTTAGAAACAAAAATAAAAGAACAAATTCAAAAAAGGAAAAAAATGTTTTTACTTCGTGTAAGATTCAAAACCGGAACACTTTGGGGTATAAATCTATTACCATTCACCATCATTGTTAATTCATTAACAATTCATTGTAATTACTTGAAGAAACTACATATACATATACAAAACTACGAAAATTCAATATTAACTATTTTTGTAAATAACGAATATTAGAAAAGAAGCTTGCATATGTGTCTGCTTATTTTTGCTATAGAATTGTTAGAAAATGTTTAAATAAAATTGTTGATCCCACAAATGCGATCTCTCCTTGTAAATATAAATTACACATGAGAATTGAAAGTAAAAACTAGTTACATTTAATAGTCAAAAAACTAAAATGTCGTCCTATTACAAAAATGACGAATACTTTCAAAGAAATTTATAAATAATAGTCGACGCAGAGAAGAAGAGATTCCCTTTAAAAAATACATAAAACGCTTGTTTCAATTAAAAATCTTCGTTCCGACAAGAATCGACGTTCATTCACAAGTTGGTAACTGAAATCAGGAAGGAATTTATTCATGAACCCGGTACTACAAAAAGAGTTTGTCCTTTACATCGAGACAGTCAAGAAACAATTCAACCAGGAGCACCGAACGACCGATACCGTGCAACTAACGAGATGCAACAATTCCAGAGCAATTACCGTCGAAAAGGATAATTATTTCCAGACAAAAGGTACGCCGTAGTGCTCTCGATAAAAAGGAAAAGCGATTTTCCAAAGGGGTCGATGGAAAAAGAGCAGCCAGAAGAGAACTGAATCCTCGCCGCGGGTATCTATACTATTATATAAAGAGAGAGCCGATTTTTATGTTCGCGCAAAACTCAAGACCTATCGAACCGATCTTCCTCAAATTTTGACACGTTATTCCTGCATACTCTAAGACGGACATAGGCTATGTAGCATGTCTCAGAAGCGCGTTATTAACATGTAATTTATATGCAAAGATTTCATGTGTACGACTGTTTGGCAGACCACGTGACCCCTGTATACGACAGTCTACTTGTGCGCGCATGCGCGTATTCGGCCCGCGCGATACCTCGCCCGTAGCAGTACTGCGATGTTACCGCCAGGTGGCGAAGCTTCTCGAGCGCTTTCTCGCGAGAGAATTGCACTATCGCGGTTATATATGTCAGGACGATCGTCTGGTCATAAATTGCTTTTGCACAAGGTCGGGCGAAGCCGTGACGGGGCATGCTAGTAAGGTATATACTCCTTGGCTATTTATAACTCATATCTGTCTGAAATAACATAACCATCATCTAAATTTTATTCATTCGTATCAGCCTGTATTACTTATGGCTTCAAAACACTATTGTCGTGTTATATAGCATAGATCTTAAATCATAAATAAATATACAGGGTGTTCGGCCACCTCTAGTCTTTCTCGTCGGAGAAGATCCATCGACAGTACTAATTTCTGTCTTTAACACATTTAGTATATACTATGTTTTCGGATCCTTCTTTCTAACTCATTCCATATATGTTCATATGCGATCGAGAATTATATCTCCGTGTTTAACCTGGGTTAGGTCTGGGTTAGGTCTGGGGTGAGACCGCCAGAGGAAAGGAGGCAAGCGGTCGAGGAGACGAGGCGCCATGCCCAACGGACCGTTGTATTTATGTGGTTCCAGCAAATGATTCCGGCTGGAGCCACGCAACGGTCCGTTGGTGCAGTCCTGCCACATTGGCAAGAGTGGCAGGATAAACCGGGTAGGCTGTCCTACAGGATGACACAGGTACTCACCGGGCATGGTTGCTTTGATGAGTACCTGTGTCGAATCGGGAAGGAGGCGACGGCGGTGTGCCACCATTGTGGAGGACCCCAGGACACGGCGCAGCACACGCTGGAAGTCTGCCCAGCGTGGGTAGATGAGCGCCGTGTTCTGGAGCAGGAAGTGGGAAGAAATCTCTCGCTGGCTACCATAGTGGGAAAGATGGTGGCCAGCGAGAAAACCTGGCAAGTGGTGGCCTCCTTCTGTGAAGTTGTTATGTCACAGAAGGAGGCCGCCGAGCGGGAGCGCGAGCGGACCGCGCATCCCGCTCGGAGAGGGAGGGCTCGGAGAGGGGCCAGAGCGAGGCATCCTTCGCCTCCTGGCCCCCTCCGACGCCCTTGAGGTCTAGTGGGACCTCCAGAAGTGGGGCGGCCCGCCAGCACTCTCCTCCGACCACCACGTCGGTGGTCAGGAGATTGGCAGGCCGCCCCTGGGGGTTGCAGGTGCTCGGTGCAAGGGGCCCGAGCACCGAAGGCAGCCCCGGGGCTGCGGGCGTCGGGTGACCTGGCGTCCGTGGCGGAGAAATCAGGGGGGGAAGGACATGTCGTCCTTCCCCCCGGGATGAGCCTCGACAGGCAAGGCAAGGCGGGGGACTCTGTGATGTCTCACTAGAGTTCCCGGTCCCTCGCCGCAGCGCCGGAGGACGGTCACCGTGGGGTTTTAGCCGGTAAGAGTCCGGCACTACCCCGAGGCCCCCCCTACTTAGGGCCACGGGGTGTCCCTGAGGATTTCCCCACGTACAAAAAAAAAAAACTGTCCGGGTTAGGTCTGGGTTAGGTCTGGGTTAGGTCTGGGTTAGGTCTGGGTTAGGTCTGGTTAGGTCTGGGTTATGTCTGGGTTAGGTCTGGGTTATGTCTGGGTTAGGTCTGGGTTAGATTATTTGGGTTAGGTCTGGGTTAGGTCTACTTGCGCGCGCATGCGCATATTCGGCCCGCACGATACTTCGCCCGTAGCAGTACTGCGATGTTACCGCCAGGTGGCGAAGCTTCTCGAGCGCTTTCTCGCGAGAGAATTGCACTATCGCGGTTATATATGTCAGGACGATCGTCTGGTCATAAATTGCTTTTGCACAAGGTAGGGCGAAGCCGTGACGGGGCATGCTATAATAAGTAAATACTCGAAACGGATTCATTTGGTTCGTTAAATTCGACGATTCGATGTCTACTGGTGAACAGTCGCTGAGACGATGGACAGATGCTCGCGAAAGGATTAAAAGTCGTGAATGGACTCGCGTGGATAGCACGGAGGAGATCAAACAGAAAGGGAGACGAGGCATCAAAGGGACAAGGAGCACGATGAAAAGCGGAATGATAGGGGCAAAGAAATAGGAACGATCATTTATGTAGGCGGTAGGAACTCGCGTGAAACGAGGACCGCACCGCTTATATTCTCGGTCGACTTGTTGACATTGTCTTCGTATGGAAGGAACCGAAGTGAGATGTTGATTAAACGCTGTCCTCTATGTATGCGATGCCCTCTTCGTTCGTTTTTGCAATCACCCTTGATCTTAGATCTTTGTTTACACGACCGCGTTTATACAAGGCGCGCACAATCATCCAAACGATGATGAACTTCCGGGATTTTGGACAAATTCTGCGCCCCTATGATCTCATGAAAACACGAGAAATCAGTTAACTATATTAATATTAATTCTTGAGGGGATTGGCACAAAGTTGTCAAAAAAGATTTTTATTATATTAGTGTATCTTCTCATTCAAAACAATAGATAGATAGTGTATTAATAAATAAAATAAATATTTATTAATATATAAATATTAAAATGATTATTAATAAATTATGAATTGTAGATTAATAGATAATCTATTGATTGTATAAAATCATAGATATTTATATATTATCAAACTCTAGATATTAAATTAATAAATTTATATAGATAATATAATATACTTATTATCTATAAAATAATTATTAATAACATTCTTTGTATATGAGGCAAAGAACTAGTGTCAATTGCTTTTACAATCAGAAGGGGGTTGGCTTTAAGTTGACAATTTTGTTGAAGATTAATGTTGAAGATAGACAGCAATAGATATCGTTTGCTAGAAGACTTGTCAGTAAGACTTTCTAGCAGATTCTGCCTCAGACGACTGAGATATTTCTGAAATTTCTCGGTTGGTCGAGCGCTTGTGAGAGCGCGAGCCCTCTAGCGGCGAGCATGAGAAGCAACGCCACAAATGTGATTTCTACCCGAAAGATAAATGACCCACGACGACTGTCTGTCATTGATAGTTATATTTCGAACAATTTAAAGGAATAATCTACGAATTTGGACCCAGGCCTACTTTCTAACGATATAATTTTTCACGGCAGTTCGTCGCTTTATCGCTGCCTCTTTAAGCGTGGAGAAGCTCTCGAGAAAAAGAGAACGAAGAACAAACCAAAAGTATGCTCGGAGCCCCAGATATCCATCATTCACCGGTACTCATCTGCACTAATATTCGCAGTTGTTCATACATTGAATCCGCTCATACGCCGTGGCAGGGAAGAAAAAGAGCCACCGTAAATGTACGGGTTCGCGTGAGAGGGTGTCGCTACCGGCCAGCATTCAGAAGGGAATTCATTATTAAGGAACTCTTAAGGATCGTCTTACCGAGGACAGTCCGACGCATCGTTTCCCGGCACCGTGGCTATAGAAAGAAGGGTGAAAGACACGACGCTTTCGTACCGCCTCGAAGAACCACACCTATTTCCATCCCCTTTTCAGCCCTCTGTCCCGCGGTTTTCATCGTCGCCTATTCACCACGAGCGACGTCATCAACGCGACTCGAATTCCCGCAAAGGGCCGCGGACACGATCCCCTATAAATATTTAATTTTTAATCACGAGGTCCGTACACTCCCAAACGGAAAGACGATCTAGAAGTTTACGGAAATACAGCACTCTCTTGTTCCAATTAAATCGAGTCGAATTCAAGCACGAAATGCGTACACATCAACCACCACGAAAGAGAAAGATGCACGAAGAGTATATTGTTCATCAAACGTTGGTGGTTCTACTATTGTCATACGTAACTTTTGCTGTATCAGAAGGATGTTTAAATAGAACTGATAAAGTTACGATCTTTGATATTCACGATGTGTGGTATGTTTTAGATATAATAGTGTTTAATTAAGCATATTAAAACTATTGCTAGTAATAAAGAGAAAACGATTATTTACAGTGTTCAAGTTGGTTATAAAACAGAGAAGTTCTCAGTATCGAGCCACTCCTTTTTACCGAATGATTCAGATTTCAGGCTATTTATGTTACTGAAGATTGGTAGTTGTGTCAACTTTATAGTTCGTGAAATAGAAATAAAATGAATTTTTTTCACCCAAAGAGTTAGAACGATCTATAAACGAAGCATAACGAAAAACAGTTGTAGCAAACTGTAAATTGGCTTTAACTCCCTTTTTCGAATAAACGTTCACTCATGCTTGAACGAAGAATATACAAATAAAACACTTCTTGAGAATTCCGTAATTTCGAAAGTTCCGAAACATTTCCTGAAAAGTCCCTTGAAATTCCGTCATCCTTTCAAGCCTCTGTCCCGCGATTTTTACCGACGTCTATTCACGACGAGCGACGTCATCAACGGGACGCGATCTTCCGTAAATATTTAATTCTTAATCACGCGTCCGTGTACCGTAAAACACCGTGGAATGAAAAAACAACCCCGTGAGCCTAGTGAAGAGACATCCCCTACGTTCTCCCGCCACCCCCTCCTCCCACTCGTATTCGGTACACGTCGCCGCGATTATTCCTGGGCCTCTTTTCCGAGGCTGTATCAACCCCCGTTATCTTTCTCTCTCTAGGCTTTATATCACGCGCTGTTATACGTATTGTATACCTAACTCGCGCGTGGGTCGGATGAATGGTCTTCTAACTATCCGACAGTCTCTCGAGTTCTTTCGAGGGTTGGAGTAATTAGTCCTGCTCCGAGCTCCCCCTCACCCCCCCTCGCCCTTTGGCTTCGTACAGCTGCATTCGGTAAATGCGTATATAATCGAGACCTAGAGAAATCTAGAGTTCTTTCGAAATATATATTACGTCGAGTCATAAGTAACTTCCGATGCAGCTAAGTAGAATCTATTGTTCGTATCTACCCGCTGTGAGTTACCGTAACAACAAGTTTTTGTTTTCACTATATAGACGAGGCTTCGGTTAGTCTTTTGTCAACTGTTTTGTGTGATACACGTTACGTTAAACTGTTTTTTTAACCTCTGAAATGGAGAGTCAAAAAGTACATATTCGTCGTGTAATGCTTTGGGAATGTAAACAAGACAATAGTGCTAAGGCGACAGCTGAAAAAATATGCAGTGTATATGGTTGAGGACTAATAAATGTTCGGGCAGTTAGAAATTGGTTTATAAAATTCCGTTCTGGAGATACGACCTTAAAGGACGAACCGAGGGCGGGACGTCCTTCCGACTTTGACGACCACCTTTTAAAGGCAATATTGGAGCAAAATCCACGTCAATCAACAAGAGGTATACCAAAAAGGTTGAATACATCACAATTAACTATTAACCACCACCTGGAAAAATTAGGGAAAGTCAGCAAGTTAAGAGTATGGTTACCTCACAATCTCAATGAATGGAATAAAGAAGATCGCATATCAATCGCCACAAGTCTGCTCTTACGGGTAAAAATTGAGCCTTTTTTAAACAGGATTGTAACAGGCGATGAAAAATGGGTTTCCTATGACAATATAGTCCGCAAAAGACAGTGGCTTGATAACAATCAACCACCTCTACCAGATCCGAAAGCAAACATCCATGGCAAAAAGATTTTATTGTGTGTATGGTGGGATTGTCAAGGAATAATTCACCACGAGTTGTTGAAGTCAAATTTAACGATCACTGCGGATAGATACGTTCAGCAGTTGCAAAGAGTAAAAGAGAAACTCTATGAAAAGCGTCCTGCACTCGTTAATCGCAAAAGCGTCATTCTTTTACACGAGAATGCGCGATCACATACAGCAATGGTGATTCAAGAAAAAATTCTTGAGCTTGGATGGTCTGTTTTACCACATCCACCTTACTCCCCGGATCTTGCCCCGGCAGATTACCACCTTTTCTGTTCCTTACAAAACTTTTTGTATGGAAAAACCTTCAATTCTGAAGAGCAAGTCAGGCAGGCTGTCGAAAACTTCTTCCAGTCCAAACCAACCACATTTTACAAGGAAGGAATTGATAACCTGCCAGGAAGATGGGAGAAGGTGATAGATAATAGTGGTGAATACATAATAAATTAATATAATTTTGTTATTTAATGGGAGCAAAATAAATGTCTGATAAAAGAACGGAAGTTACATATGACTCGACCTAATATTTTGTGTT